AAAAAAAAAGGTGCCGGAACTTACACACATCATACAACCCGCCTTGCCTACCCTACAAGGTTCCCTCCCAAAAAGGTGCCAGAACTCCGTTCTGGGTGTTCTATGAGAAAAAAAAGCCCTGCTCCTCATCCCCTAATACCAGGAGCAACATCAAATCCCGTTTTGAATGGTGACTTGTGTCAAGGTTGACCTTGTTTTAACATCGCTTCATTGACAAGTTCATCCCAGACTAACAAATCAGGGCAGCTGTGGTTCATCTTTCACGGTTGCCTCCTTTGGAAACAAACCATCAAAACAAAGTTAAACCGCGGTCTATTTTTAAAGCCCACCTTCTCCTGGCTTGAAGTACAAACTCACCCGAGGAGGCGGGGAGGTTCTTCTCCTTGCCCGGAAGTCCCCCCCGGAGAAGCCAAACGCCGGCACCGGGCAGGCAGAAAAAAAAAACAAGCCTGGGCAAGCCAGAGGTCGTCAGGGAGTGCCGCTGCTTCGCTTCCCGCCCCTCCTGCCGGGCGAGTTCAGCCCTCGACAGCGCAGCAATACGCCTCTCTGGGGAAGAGTGCCAGGCCGGCCCTCTCCGATCCGCTGGCCGCCGAGGAAGCGCTGAACTACCCCGGGCCGGACCGCGGGAGGGGATCAGTCGCGGAAGGGGAGAACCGCTGCGGAGACAGGTCCGCGGTGATAAGGGCAGCATCCTTCTCCTGCTTCCGTGGCCTCCGTTTGGTTTAACGCAGAGAAACCGGTCATGAGGATTCGTGAAAATCGGGGGCTTATTCGCGTTTTATTTTACACGTCCAGAAAGCGAAGAGGAATTTTTTTTTTTAAGTGCCGTGGAGTCAGTGCGAGCGGGATATACCCGATGTCCGCGAACGTTTTTTTCTGATTTATGTAACGGAGATGCACTTTTATCCTGTGTAATTTTGTGGGCAAGTTAATGCAGAAATAGCCACTACCAATATGCTGCCTCTGTAAACCGCATAGAGAGGGCTGTAAAGCACTGTGAAGCGGTATATAAGTCTAAGTGCTATTCAGCAGGGGTAGGCAACCTCGGCTCTTTTATGACTCATGGACTTCAACTCCCAGAATTCCTGAGTCAGCATAGCTGACTCAGGAATTCTGGGAGTTGAAGTCCATGAGTCATAAAAGAGCCGAGGTTGCCTACCCCTGTGCTGTTGCTAATGCTGTTCTGGGGTTTCTGCAGGCAGCAGTCGTCGCTTCTGTCCTTATGCGGCAAAATCCGCGCTCTACTGCGTAGGTTACGGCTCCAAACCCTCGAGAAGGGCTGCCTTTCGCTATCCACCTCAGCATCTCCAGCAGCCGCCGCCTGCGAAGTAGTAACGGGGCTGAACAAGCTCCTTTCCTTTGAACCAACGAGAGGGAAGAGGCAGAAGGCCTTCTCGGCAATATGTCAGCCAATGGGGAAGGCCGGAAGGGGTTTTGTCCAATGGGAAAGCGCCGGAGGTTGGCTCAGGGAGCCACGTGTAGGAAGTATTTGCCGGAGTAGCTGAAGTAGCATGGCGGCCCCCGGTCCGAAAAAAAGACAGCAAAGGCAGCGCGGCGCTTCCGCTTCGGCCGCGGCGGGACCCGCGTTCTCCGCTTTCCAGCCACGTCCCTTTACCCTCCCTTCCGTCGGTCCACTTGCTTACTTTCCCTCGCTTCCCCACTACCTTCTCTTCCTTTCATCACTTTCGTTGTTCTCAACATTGTCTTAAAGTCCTTTTCTTTTATAATTAAGACATAGATTCCTTACTTACAGTCTTTCACATCACGTACGAACAACGTTTGAAAAAAAAAAGGCTAGGATGAAAATAGGGTTGAATTATGAAGTAATTTGGACAAATTTGAAGTTGAGGGGGTTGCTGTATGGGATGAGCGGTGAAAATAAAACATGCATAAAAATATATAGCATGATTAGCAAATGCATCAACTTCTGCTAGCTATGATCAATGCTCTGCTAATGGGGAGGATTGTATTAATCAGAATGGACACATTTGAGCCTGTTTGTTCCTGCTTGTCCAGCTTTTCAATAACTGAGTGAAGGCATTATTTATTTAATTAGATTTATTTAATTAGGTTTGATCTAAAATAAGTTTTTTACTTCCCAGGTCCCTGCTGGCGAAGAAAGAGCTTGGCAGAAAGCTGGCTCCAAGTTGAATGAAGAGATCTCTAGTGATTCTGAACCAGATGTGTAAGGATATGCCAAATTGCCTTGGTATTTTTTTTCTCTAATTAGGAAGATCATATCATAAACATTAAGAATTTGCACAGGAATTTCCTATGGAGATGGTTGCATGAAGCTGATAATGAGAGAAATGCTCTATGAGACCTCATGATAATATAACAAGTGGTGGATTCCTGAAGTATAATTCTTTGTGGCATCCAATGACTCCAAAAGTCTGTACTTTAGGAATCCCATGGGATATAACATTGAATAAGGTATCACAAATTTGCATTAGGGATTGGGACAAAGTACTGAAGTATTTTCTTTGAGGGAATTGGACAGTAATTTTCTCTTGTTGATGGATAGTTCTTGAGGTGATATAAAGTATTTCTTTGTAAATTGTTTCTTTTGCATCTGTAGTCCAGCAAATAAAAATGAAGCAGAAGAAGAAATTGAGGAGACACCACAAGAGAAGAAACTGAGATTAGCGAAACTATATTTGGAGCAGCTTCGCCAACAAGGTGAAGAGAAGCTAGATATGATTTAATTAGACTATTAAACAATCAGATTAAAATTCTTAGTATATGAAATGAAACCAGTCTTTCTATCTATGTACCTATTTATCTGTTAAATTTATATAGCCTATCATGACTTTGGGCAGCTTACAAAGTTAAAAAATAAATAAATAAATAAACAGAAATAACCCCAAAAACAATAGCATTAAAAACAGTAAGATTACTGAAAACATAATTGGTAGGAGAGCATCATTCATTTTTCTAAATGTGCAACTTATTAGTAAGTTCTCCACAAATGTCACCAGATCCCCAGGCCAGGTGGCAAAGCCATATCTCCAAAAGGCCAGATTGATCATGACTAATCTTACCTCTGAGGAGAGGAAGTTCAAAAAGACAGGCACTTCAGCAGAAAAGACTCTCCTCCTGGCCCCATCACATGACTTTGGACCCACCATATGACCTTTCTGATGGGATGGATAGGTATGATTGGGTTGGGGTGGTCCCTCAAATACCCCAGCCCCATGCCATGTAGGGCTTTGTAAGCCTTCATCTGCACCTTGACACAAACTAGTAGCTGATGCAGTTTACGGAGCAGAAGTGTAACTTGCACTGCTGTAGATGTGTGCATAGCTGCTGACGCCTCTGCATTTTATACCATTGAAGCTTCCAGATGCTGTTCAAGGGCACATCCTTATAGACTGCATTATAGGTAAACGATTTAGATGAGGGAATAGAAGGAGAACTCATCAAATTTGCAAACGACACTAAGCTGGCAGGGATAGCCAAGATCTAGATTTTGTTGGATAGGGCCCAGTGATCAAGTTACTCAGGATCCAGATGGATCTTGAGAGACTTGATCATTGGGCCCTATCCAACAAAATGAAATTCAGTGTAGAGAACGGTTGCGGGAATTGGGTATAGCAAGTCTAGTGAAAAGAAGGACTAGTGGGTGACATCATATCAGTGTTCCAATATTTGAGGGGCTGCCTTAAAGAATAGGAGGTCAACCTATTTTCCAAAGCACCAGAAGGCAAGACAAGAAACGATGGCAACTAATCAAGGAGAGAATCAACTTAGAACTAAGGAGAAATTTCCTAACACTGAGTTCAATTAACCAGTGGAACAGCTTGCCTTGGGAAGTTGAGGGTGCTCCATCACTGGAGGTCTTTAAGAAGAGACTGGACAGCAACTTCTCTGAAATGCTATAGGGTCTCCTGCTTGAGCAGGGGGTTGTACTAGAAGACCTCCAAGATCCTGTCCAACTCTGTTATTAGTGCATGAGCATTGGGTCTCCTGGTCCAGAAATACGTACAACTGGCACACAACATGAAATTGCACAAAAGCCAACCTATCTATGATTGCCACTTGTTCATTTGAGCAGGAGTTGTGAGTACAAAAGGACTTCCAGATGGTACATTGAGTTTGCCTAGGGCAGTGTCACCCATCCAGAATTAAAGATGGTAAATTCCCAGATCCTTGTAGTCCCAAGACCTGAAACCATTCAGTTTTGCCAGAGTTAAATTGAGTCTGTTTTTCCCTATGTATAATTAATAGTACATTAATTATATTAGCTACTTAACCTGTTATGAACTTTTATTTGCTTATTTAAATTTTCAACTATTTGAAAAATTCAGTCTGAACAAAGATGGCTGGGAATTTATCTTGAGAAGTGTGGAGATTTAAAAAATCTATTCTTTTGTGTAAAGAAGATATATAAGTAGTTTCCTGAAATTTATGAACTGGGAAATTTTATATGTGTTTTTTAAACCAATTTCTCAACTGTTTTAGAAGATGATTTAACTTATTGGAGATACCAAAATACTTTTTGATGAAAAACCCTCATCCTACTTGGTAACTATTGGTTCTGGTCGTTTGTTTTACTGATGAATCTTCAGGTTTTGAAATTTATTTCAGATTAGATTTTTTGGTTAAGTAAACATAGCTATGTCTAATTTTTCCCTCTGGCAGAAGAAGAAAAGGCTGAACAAGAGGCTTTTGAGAAAGATCTGGTTGCTGGCCGATTAAAGGAAGATGTGGTGAGTAGGACATGAGGTAGTAGACTGGAAAGAAATTGGTGCCTCTATCCAGTGCTTTTTTTGTTAAAAAAAAAAAAAGGTGCCGGAACTCACACATGTCATGCAACCTGCCTTGCGTACCCTACAAGGTTTACCTTTGTAGTTGAAAAAAAACCTAAAACTATCTAAAAGACTAGGATTTTGTTCAAGGTAAGTTAATACTATTAATGTTACCATGCACTGTGTGGCTTTAAATTACAAGAAGGCATTTTATTAATCTTTTGGGACATTTACTACTGGAATTCTCATTTAGTTTAAAGAGTGGAAATGTCAGCTTTCTATGTGGAATGAAATTGGCTCAATAAAACAAAATTTGGTCTACCTTTACATGTGACCAATACATAATTAATATATATTATTATTAATAATACCCCCAAATCACAAGACATTGGCTTTATTCTTATTCTTCCCCTCTGCAGTTTGAATATAAAGTATAAAAGACTAAAAAGAGATTTTCATAGACATCCCAGCCTTTGAACTACCCAAAGAACTGAAACAGCAAAGTTTTGCTGTTGGGCAGGTTTCCACGCCAGCCGCCTTTCTTTTCTCTCGCTTCACCTCTTTTTAACCTCACATACACCCCACCTTCTGTAAGGGAAGGCAAAAGGCTTACACATCCTCTCGTGAAAGATGGCCTCCATGTTTATGTGTCTCCCCATTATCGGCTTCCACACCACATGGTCCAACCCAGCCAATCAAGCCACGCTCTGGCTGTGGTCCTCCGGCACCTCATGGCTCCTCCTAGAGGAGGCAGACAGCGCCAGAGGGGACCCCGCTTGCACTGTATCGCCAGCGGGGCATTTTCAAAAGCAAACGAGGATAGGAAGGGCAACAACAGGAAAAGAACGCAACTCTGGAAAATCCATCGGAAAAAGGTGTTGGAACTCTGTTCCGGTGCGTTCTATGACAAAAAAAGCCCTGCCTCTACCTGTCCTGAATTTGGCATTAGAAGGCTTAAAAAGCCCCACCTTCCTCATGAAGTAAATGGTATCTTCTCACTGGAAAGTAGTGGAGTTCATTGCTCTCCATGCTTCAGGCCTTGTTAGGCTCAATTCTAGTTGAGTGTGGGTATAGCTTTTATAAATCACAGTCACTCTCCTACATAAAGAGATTAATAATATGCAAAACACAAGCATGCCTGTTTGTTTAACCTTGGTCCATGTTTAAGTGGCAAAAAGAGTATCTATGAGGGCTTTTAGATATAAAGTCAGTGGTTTGACAGAGAAATTGTACAGTCAAAGTGATATGCACAGAGTTTCCTTACTCTTGTGAATAAGCATCTCTTCTCAATTCAGTCTTTGTTTAAAATATATAGTGATTTATCTGGCATTTGTAATCTGATAACTTGTAGTGCGATTTCTTTTTTACATCTACAATCATCTTTGTACTCATTCTGAAGAAAATTCAGGCTGAAAAAAGCTGAGTAATTTTGGAGAAGTGACTTTTTCATGGGCTTTTCCCATCTAATCCTTGGAAACCATTTCCTGCCTTGCTTCCTTTCAGCCATAAGCCAATAAGGTAGTAATGAGTCTGATACTCTCAGTGTCAGTTTGGTAGAAGTATGAGTTGAAGTTCTTAAACGTGAGTATCTCAGAAATCGCCATTTAGTCACTGATTCTTTTGTCAAAACTGAAAGGAGATTGTAATCACTCTTGCAAGTCCATATAGAAGAATTTAAGGTCCTTTTTAAAAAAAAGGAAAATAACCCAATTTAATATTTAGCTATAGCTGGGTATAAGAATCTGATCCATATACTTTTTCCTAATTTATGTATTTTGTGAAGTAGGAAGAAGAGTCAATCTAATTCTATTTTATTTGTCCCTCATAGCTTGAACAGAAAGGAAAATTGCAGCGACAAATTGCCAGCAGTGTAAGTAGAAACTTTTTTCCCCCACAATTGTGCAGACTTTCAAAGCACCTATTACTCTTCCTCGAACTACAGGTGGTGTGGCACTGCCAATATATCAGCTTATGGAGCCTTTTATTATTTGAGATTGTTGCAGGATTTTGCTGGTTTTTATATGTTCTTGCCCTACGGACAAAATTATTTATTATATTTAAAACATTTATTCTTATGCCCAACTCCGGACAGCTAACATTTAATTAAACGCCACAAACAAAAGCAAAAAAACCCATTGTGTCCGAGGCCATTCATATGCTTATGTAGTAATTATTTTTTAAAGATGCGCTCATCTAATTCTCTGGGACAATCCCTGAGTCTTCAATGCCATAGCAAATCTTCAGTGCCTGCCAAATCTTGAATGCCTGGCAAGATAAAAGCCATCTAGATCTTGAAGGTTATGCCATTGCAGAAAACAGGGGCCACAATAGGGGAGCACAACAGATGACACTGTGTAATGCAAGGGACAAAGATGCCCACCCTGTTGGATATGGTGGGGCAGAGTGAAATAACAGAAGAGAGATCCTACAGATAATCTGGCTATCTGCCATGAAGGTCTTTAGGTGGTAATCAACATCTTGAATTGCCTCCGTAATTTCCTGGAATGGAATGGAATGGAATAGAATATTATAGAATTATAGAATTAATTATAGAATTATAGATTGTGTGATTGGCTACACAAGAAATTTGTCTCTGGTGCATAAGCTCTCAGTGTACATACAAGCAACAAGTGATAAATCATGATCATAATCTTAAAATATATCATCATAAATCATAAGATACAACACTCAGTGATTGTCATAGGATACTAAATAAGCAATCAACATAAGTCATACTAGGATACTGAGTAAAACAATTAATATAAATTGTAAGATACAAGCAGCAAACCAATGCCCTATACATTGTCTTGAGGGAAGTTGAAACAGTTTATGTCCAGGATGTGAGGGGTCTATAGATATTTTCACAGCCTTCTTTCTGACTTGTGCAATATACAGGTTCTCAATGGAAGGCAGACTGGTAGCAATTGTTTTTCTGCAGTTCTATCTATTGAAGTCTGTGTCTGACTTGTTTGGTTGCAGTGCCAAACCAGACAGTTATAGAAGTGCAAATGACAGACTCAATAATTCCTTGTAGAACTGTATCAGCAGCTCTCAAAATAGTGGATGTTGTGTCCAAAATAGTGAGGCATACTATAGTGTGCCCAAAACTGCCCACCCCAGCACATTCTGGATCAATTGCAATTTCTGAGTAATTTTCTTTTCTGTTTTCTTTTTTTTAAAGTTTTATTAATTTTTAAGAATTACAATCCTTAGAGCTTAATAAACAATATGTTGTCTGTGTTCACATATTTAACATTAACTTCTTCAATATAAATCTATTCAGTACTGCACAATCCAGTATTTTTTCCCTGATCCTCCTTTCTTCCCCATATTTTTTCCATTTCCCCCTCATTACACAATTACAATTCTTGGTACTATTGATGTATACAAAGCTAGATATAAACATCTTCATCATATTTTACTAATATTGTACAAATAACAATAATATCAATTCATAAATCAATATCTTGTTTTTCATGCTCTTGTTAAAGTTTAATTTCCCATCAATATTTAAAGTAGATTTTTAGATTAGATAACCTTTATTGTCATTTTTTCCTGTGGGCACAATGGCACACATTAAAAATGAAATTTAGTTGCTTGCTCTCAAAGCGTACACATACATAACACATTTAAAACATATTATATACAACATGTATAGACCTACACCCTTACATATAAGTAACGTAAATATTAATCACTGTCCATCTTGAATACATAACGGAAGAAGGAAGCTTTAGAGTTCAGAAGGTTAATACTGTATGGAACAAAGCTGTGACTGAATCTGGATGTTCTGCTTCAGCTACCACAGCGCCTCCTCCCAGAAGGTAACAAGGAAAACATGTCATGAAGAGAATGTGTAGTGTCCCAGACAATCTTGCAGACCCTGCTCAAGCAACCCTTATGTACTATGTCCTGGATGGAAGGGAGGGAACTGCCAATGATCTTTTCAGCCATCCTCACCACTCTCTGAACTGTCTTCCTATCTGAAGCAGTATCTTAAAGTATCTTTATCAGTTATGATTTTCTCAATATTAATTCCATTTATATAGCTAAAAATTTTATTCATACCAATCCTCTTATTTTTATATTTCCCATATCAAAAAAAATGCTATTTTAATTCTAAATCATATCTTTCATTATAAAAGTCTAATTATATCTAAGGGTCATCTGCTCTTTTAGACATATTCAAACAAGTATTTAAATATATGATGCCTCTTTAATAGGTCAAATCTTTTATTTTTTAAATCTAACTCTCGCTTTCTTTCTTTGCCAAGTAGCTTTCTAAGCCAAGGCACTTAAATCACCCAGGAATTTTCTTTCTATTCTTATGAAAGTTGCTTGACATGAGGAAGACAATTTAGGCAAGGTATTTCGGGGGGGAGTTCCCCCCATTTATGTTCCTTAAGCAATTCCCACCTTCCTTCTTCCTCAATTTCTCCCCTCATCTTTTGTCTCCCAAATTGTAACATTTCCACTGACAGCTCTATGTTCCATTCCCCAAAATCTTCTTCCTTGTCATCAGGTGCATCTTGAGGGTAAAGGATCTTTTGCATTTTCATTGTTATGGGTAAGTCTTGCAGTATTTTATTTGTGTATGGTAGTTCATATTTCCCTTCTTTCATCTCTTCCGTTTCTAGGTCCATTTCCTCTGCTTCATCTTCTAATCTCTGGTTTATTTGTTCATACTTTGTAGTCATTGTCTGGAAACTTTCTAGTTATAGATTTAATTTGGAAATTTGCTCATTATCTAAATTATTTTTAGTCTCATTATGGTTTCTTTTTATGTCCTCTTTGTATGCAACAATTGTTTGGTGAATTAGTTGTAGTGTAGAGTATATTTCCTTCTGAAAGGTGTTTATTTTTTCTTGAAGCATCATTCCTGGAGATCCTCTAATATCACCAGTCTTGTAAGAGTAGAACAAAGTTTCCCCTAATTTCTGGTCTTTATATGTAGCCTTTATAATCCAATAGATTCCAGAATACAGGTCCAGTCCCAAAAGCAATATTTTATAGTGATCCTTGTCTCAGGCATCCAAAAATTGTCAGTCAGGCAAGGTTATAATCCACAATGTTCAAGTGTTCAACCTCCCTGAAAACAACTCACAAGTCTCTCCTAGCCAGACGTAATCAAAGGTCAGATTTTTTTCTCTCTCCCACTAGCTCTTGAGATTAAAAGTCCAAGGTCAGTAGGTGTTTATAGTCCAAAAAGGTCAGGGTGATAAGTATACCACAATATTTTCGTTTATTGCCAGCTGTTCTCCCTTAAACTAGGAGTCACCAAACAGCCAGGAAGCTAGTTATAGTGCTGTACTCAAATCCACCACTAGTCATTCAAAATCCATTTTCCACTCTTAAGACAAAGGATTGATTTCTTATATTTCACCTCAGTGTTTTGGTTTTTTTCCAAAGAAAAAATCTTAACAATTATCTCAGTTCTCAAATTTCAAAACTGTAGCTTTATGTTACTTCCACTTCAATATTGTGTATTTCTGTCCCGCATAGAATTTAAAACTCCGCTTCCATTCACATTCAGTAGTTTTTAGCTTCTTGGGATCCTTTCCCAGGAAATTCAGTTGTAAAATAGTAAAGAAAGGATCAATATTCCCACCCATTTCCAAACATGCTGTTTACGATGTGCTAATTGGTGCTTTTCTTCTTCGGTTGTCAGCAGCTAATGGCTGGCTATAGAAATGTAGCCAGTCTTTCCCCTGCCAGTTTGGAGGGCTTTTCTCAGATCGAATGGAAAGACCGTCATCACTCCGTGATCGACGAGACACCCCTCTTTCTTCATCGCCTCTTTGGGGTGACTTTAGATCCTTTTTAGGACCCCCAGCAGAGAGAAATCAGATGCGGAAGGCAGAGGAGCCCTGCCTTCCTGCGTACATTTCGCTGCGACGCAAAACCGGAAGTCCAATTTCTGAGTAACTTTCAAAGGCATACTGTTGATATCTAATCCTGTGCTGGTGGATAGGCTTACCTAGTAGCTTTATGCATACATTAAATATGAATGGAGAGAAAGTCCTGAGGAAAACTGAAAAACAGAATGGACCTCTTTCCCTCACTAATACAAACTGGAATCTCCTCTAGAATGAAAACCACTGCAGTATTATGCCCCCATTCTCACTCCTACCTTGAGCTAGTCCGGAAGGATATAATGATTTATAATAGAAAAGGCCACAGAGAGATAAAGAAGCAGCAGATCGGATGTACCATTACCATCCTGATCCCATCAGAGATTATCCTCAAATGCGATCAATACCATCTCATTACAGAATCCAGTTCTGAAACCAGACTGAAGAAAGTTGAGATAATCCATTTCCTCTGAAACTATAGTCCAGTGATGGCGAACCTTTTAGAGACCGAGTGCCCAAAAACTGCTGGCCCGCGGGCCGGATGCGTCATCTGGAAGTTGTGCCCACCCCATTGCTGGCAATGGCAAAACCAGCCCGATACGTTGCGCGATGTCATGTGACGTCGCGAGTTTGACATGTCTGCCTTAGTTGAACTGTGCATCCATGCTTTAGAAGTAACCCCTAGCTCCATCAGAAAGCTGACAGGATCCGTTAGCCATCTGGGGTAGACCAATTAAATAGATTCTACTTCTGTGGTGAAGCACAGTTGTTGAAAACTAGGCAATCAAATTCCAGTTAACACTGTGTCATAAACTTCAGTGGTATCTCAGCACTGGGCAAGTTGATAAACTGCTATTTTTTTCACTTGTAACTTTGGTTTGGAATGCTGATGTAGTTGGTATTCTCTGAATAGTTGCTGCCTCCAGACATATCTGACATCAAGATACTACGAGGTCACCAGTTGCCCATCACCTGCCTAGTCATTTCACCAGATGACAAATATATTTTCTCTGCATCCAAAGACTGTTCGATCATCAAATGTAAGTTTTATTTTCTGTAAAAAAAAGATAAACTACAAGAAAGAAGAGGCATGAAAAAAATATTCTAAACTTAATACATTTATATTTTTATAACCCTATAAACATTATGACTTTCTTCTATAAAGATGGAAGATTCAAAGGATCAAATTTACACTGCCTCGACTGAATAAATCAGTATTGGAGTAATGGAGAGCCAACTCCAAATGCTGATGGGCCAAGTATTGGAATCAGCATATATTTTTATAAGTGCATGATTCTTAACATGCTCCTTTCCATTGATGTATTATCAAGCTATTTTGATATTTTTGACTTATTCTTGTAATCAATCTTCCAATTTTAATTACTGTATAGAAATTTGGGATTGTAGCAAACATTTAATAATNGGGGGGGGGGGGGGGGGGGAGGTGTGGCTCAGATAGGCTTTACAGCTTCCCTTTAGAAATTAGATTTGTCCCTAAATGTCCCGGTCTTCTGGAAACGCCTGAAAATTGAATTACCTCTCTGGATGTAGATTGCAGAGCAGCGCATCAAGCCAGCTTGTTTATGAGATATTGAAGTTAGGTTGGCCTCTATGAAAAGATTAGCTTGGCCTTCACTTGGATCACTTTTGTAAATTTTAATTCTTTAGTAGATCTTGGTTTGGTGAGCAGCAAAGTTCAGCAAAAGTTACTGTGAATATGGAATTGGCAGAAGTAATTATTAATAAATTAATGTGGGTCTGGAGAGTGAGCAGTATCTGACTAACATCATACTTAACATATCTTAGTCCTTTTCCGAACTTTAGTATATTTGCAGTTGAAGTGAATGAAGTGCAGTTCCTGAGTCACTTATTCATGTTTTTGAGGCAATTGACACATGATGGAAGATAATTTTTTTCTCAAATTATGGATTTTACTAAAATAACTTTCAGTTTTCTAGCTTACTTTAAAGTGTCAAAAAAGAATTCTAACATTTGAACTTGACTTGAGCATCTTTATGCTGCAGGGGATGTTGAGAGTGGAAAGAAGCTCCATGTGATACGTGGAGGAAAAAAGGGGGCAGAGGGCAGCCATGTTGGACATACCGCACATATCATTTCAATGGCTGTCTCGTCGGATGGCAAATTCCTGGTAAGAAGAATCTTCTGCTATGCCGAGAAAGAGAAATCAATTCCATGCAATTCTAGCAGTGTTGGCAGAAAGTTTTGAAGTTTGTTTTCTCCTCTGTGGTGGTGATGGTGATCTTTTAGTACAGTAGAGAGATTCTTCTTCATAGTTCTCTAGAATAGACTATGTTCAATAGATCCTCCTATATCAACTAACTGTTGATATGTGGGTTATACATTCAGCCTGTTCAGTGCTGTAGAATCTGTGTATCTTGAGGAAATTTCCCTGAATCTAATCAATGGTTACAATAGGCACCTCTATTCATATAGACAGGCAATCTCCCTTTTTGCTCCAGGCAGTTCTATTGTTTATTCCAGCTGGACTCCTTTTCTCAACACCAAAACCAAACCAAAAGGCAGTTAAAGAATGAGATGTTTGAGTCATGCTACTGTAAGGAAAATATTAAGGCATTAAANGGGACTGGCCTAGGGGAAACTTTTAGAGGGGGTTTTAATTATAATTTTAATTAGACCAATTACTAATATTTCCCTTTTAATTAACTTTTTAATCTGTAGTGTGATATTTTTGTATTTTTATCCGGTTGTTAGCCGCCCTGAGTCCGCAAGGAGAAGGGCGGGATATAAATCTAAAAAATAAATAAATAAATAAATAAATATTCTCACCCATTTCCAAACATGCTGTTTACGATGTGTTAATTGGTGCTTTTCTTCTTCGGTTGTCAGCAACTAATGGCTGGCTATAGAAAAGTAACCAGTCTTTCCCCTGCCAGTTTGGAGGGCTTTTCTCAGATCGAATGGAAAGACCATCGTCTCTCCGTGATCGACGAGACACCCCTCCTTCTTCATCGCCTCGTTGGGGTGACTTTAGGCCCTTTTTAGGGCCCCCATCAGAGTGAAATCAGACGTGGAAGGCAGAGAGCCCTGCCTTCCTGCGTCCGTCTTGCTGCGACGCAAAACCAGAAGTCCAATTTCTGAGTAACTTTCAAAGGCATATTGTTGATATCTAATCCTGTGCTGGTGGATAGGCTTACCTAGTAGCTTTATGCATACTTAAATATGAATGGAGAGAAAGTCCTGAGGAAAACTGAAAAACAGAATGGACCTCTTTCCCTCACTAATACAAACTGGAATCTCCTCCAGAATGAAAACCACTGCAGTATTATGCCCCCATTGTCACTCCTACCTTGAGCTAGTCCGGAAGGATATAATGATTTATAATAGAAAAGGCCACAGAGAGATAAAGAAGCAGCAGATCGGATGTACCATTACCATCCTGATCCCATCAGAGATTATCGTCAAATGCGATCAATACCATCTCATTGCAGTATCCAGTTCTGAAACCAGACTGAAGAAAGTTGAGATAACCCATTTCCTCTGAAACTATACTCCAGTGATGGCGAACCTTTTAGAGACTGAGTGCCCAAAAACTGGCCCTGCCCCCGCTCCACCCCCTGCCCCGCCCCCACCTCATCCCCCACCCTGTCTGCCTGCAGGGCCACTCACCGCCTCCAGGGCCCGCCGCAGATTGCCCAGGCAGCCCAACAGCGCCATGGCGGCCACACCCTCTGCCTGCGCCCCACAGCATCAACTGTGCGCAATGGGGCGTGAGGCCAGAGTCTTGTCTACACTGCTTGGCTGCCATGTCCTTGGCTGCACTGCTCCGTGTGGGCCACGCTCAGGGGCGACTCTCCTCCAGGGAGCTGCTGGTGAGGAGGGGGTCGTGGGGAAAGAGAGGTTGGGGCAACGGCATGTGTGCCCACAGAGAGAGCTCCAAGTGCCGTCTCTGGCACGCATGCCATAGGTTCACCACCACTGCTATAGTCCAATATTCTCACAAGCCCAAAAGGAAAAAAATAAAGTGTAGACAAAAATTGTTCATTAGTATTGTAAGCAGCAATGGTTTCGTGCAGACAGACCACTACCTTGTTCAGTGCAGGAGGTACCACCTTCCTGAAACAGGGATGAATTCTGCCTTGACCCATGACATATTTTCTCCCAGAAGACTTTCAGAAGGCCAAGAGAAACATGAATCTAATATACAAATGGTCCTAGAGACTTAGACACTTTTAAACATGTCGGCTAAATTCTCTTTGTCCTTCTCTAGCAGCACTCCAGGCATCCCTTCTACCATTTTATCTTCCAGAGCGCCTCTGAAAAATCAGAGGGCTCCCAGGGACTCATAAACAGAGAAAGACTGCCAAAAGCGGTCTAATTCAAGACTGAGGTTGTGATTAAGGCCTTAGTTGAATGTGCATCCATGCTTTAGAAGTAACCCCTAGCTCCATCAGAAAGCTGACAGGATCCGTTAGCCATCTGGGGTAGACCAATTAAATAGATTCTACTTCTTTGGTGAAGCACAGTTGTTGAAAACTAGGCAATCAAATTCCAGTTAACACTGTGCCATAAACTTCAGTGGTATCTCAGCACTGGGCAAGTTGATAAACTGCTATTTTTTTCACTTGTAATTTTGGTTTGAAATGCTGATGTAGTTGGTATTCTCTGAATAGTTGCTGCCTCCAGACATATCTGACATCAAGATATTACGAGGTCACCAGTTGCCCATCACCTGCCTAGTCATTTCACCAGATGACAAATATATTTTCTCTGCATCCAAAGACTGTTCGATCATCAAATGTAAGTTTTATTTTCTGCAAAAAAAGATAAACTACAAGAAAGAAGAGGCATGAAAAAAATATTCTAAATTTAATACATTTATATTTTTATAACCCTATAAACATTATGACTTTCTTCTATAAAGATGGAAGATTCAAAGGATCAAATTTACACTGCCTGGACTGAATAAATCAGTATTGGAGTAATTAATGGAGAGCCAACTCCAAATGCTGATGGGCCAAGTATTGGAATCAGCATATATTTTTATAAGTGCATGATTCTTAACATGCTCCTTTCCATTGATGTATTATCAAGCTATTTTGATATTTTTGACTTATTCTTGTAATCAATCTTCCAATTTTAATTACTGTATAGAAATTTGGGATTGTAGCAAACATTTAATAAT